TTTTTTTTTTTTTTTTTTTTTTGCCAAGAATTAGGCTCCCATTCATTGTGAATTCGCATTGGAATAAATGTTTGTTGAGAAACTTTTTGTGTAATACATTGCTTTTTCATATTCGTGCACACGTCGACAATTTAAATCGAGGAGCAACGTTGACGGGGAAGCAGCCGAGAGCAGTTAGTGAAGCCACAATAGCAACGATAATAAGGCGAAGCTAAGATAGTGAAGAACATAAATCAAGGAGACATTTGGACGTGTTTACTCATTTCATAACCCGTGCATGTACACATTAGGGCCCGTAGAAACACACACAGTGAAAACTTTTGATGGTATATGCACACGTGCTGTTTAGCACATTGAAGCGTAGCGGTGCACACTTGTTAACAGAGATAAGCGGATTAAAAAAACAATAATAAATAAGAAGTAATAAAAAAAAATGTCTTCTGTGTCAACGTTGCCATATATAGGCAGTAAAATTTCTTTAATTTCAAACTCCGAAATAAGATATGAAGGAATTTTGTACACGATAAATACGCACGAGTCGACCGTTGCATTGCAAAACGTTAGATCATTTGGAACGGAGGGGAGAAGACAGCCGGACATTCCCCCATCAAGTGAAATTTACGATTTTATAATATTTAGAGGAAAAGATATAAAAGATGTAACCGTTAGTGAAGCTCCGAAGACTATTCCGGACGATCCAGCGATCGTTTCCATGAACATAGCACCATCGTCTAAAAATAATTTGAGCGATAATATAAATTATAACAATAATGTAAATATGAATAAACCGATGAACACTCAAAACAATATGATGCAACAACAAAATGATAGAAATATGAACTTAAATAATAGACGATATTTTAATAGGCAGAATTACAATTTTTACTATAATAATAACCCTAACAATAGTGGTAATAATCACAACAATAATAATAACAGCGGAAGAAACTTTAACAATTTTAGATATAAGAATTTTAGAAATTATGATAGGCCTTACATTATTGGGGAGCTGGAGTCACAACCGAATCCAGCCCTAAAAAGCAAATTCAGCCCGGACTTTGACTTTAGTACAAATAATCTAAAGTTTGATAAAAGCACCATACTGGAGGAAAAGAATAAAGAGCAGTTAACGCTGAATAACAATATTCAAGTAGGAGGGTATGATAAGAACTCTAGCTTTTTTGATAACATTAGTTGTGAAACGTTAGATAAACAACAGGGTAAGGATGAAAGAGTGGACCGAGACAAATTAAGAATGTTAGATGTAGACACCTTTGGAATAGCTGCAGCGCACTATCGAACCGCTGGACACAATCGAAACAACAACAGGAATAAAATGAGAAACAATAGAAATAACAAAATGATGGGGAACTTCAACTACAACTATTATAATAGAAATCAAAACCCGTTTAACAGGTATCCTGCTTATTAGTTTTTTTTTTTTTTTTTTTTTATCACACGTACGGAGGTGCGCTTGCACATATAGGTAGACACATATATAGAGATGTGTTAACGTATGCATGCGCGTTGAGTTGCCTCCATTTTATTCGTTTTTTCTAATTAATGTTTGTGCCATTACATGCGTAATAAGCCATTTAATTCATTTTAAAAGTTTCCACCGGTGTAGACGCACTTATGCGGGCGTATCGACCCGTACACAGATGCGCCTTTACATAATGCACGTAGCCAGTTGTTCACAAAGGCAAGCGGCTCCCTTGGTTAGATTTTCAGAGTGACCTAATGTGAACGTACAAGTTTGTTCCTGAGTTTGTGTGTTTATATATGTAGACTTTGACATACTTGCACGTGAGCACTAGGAGGGGGATTGCATGCATGTGTGCACGTACATATGCATTATGCGTGTGTGTATATGTACACCCATGTGAGGATGTGTGAATGCCCAGGTGCATGATCCATTTACATGTGAAACAAGGTGAATCAGCAAATGTTTATATAATTTTTTTAAGTCAAGTCCCCTAAAATAATTTCCTTTTTTTTCCTTCTTTTTTTTTTGACGTTAAAAATGTGTTTTTTTTTTTTTTTTTTTTTATTTTGTTTTGCTTTCCATAAATGCTTCCCTGGGTGTTTACATAAGTATTTACCAGCATGCCTTTTCCCCTTTTTGCTGAATCATTTTTTATATTTAAAAATTGCGATAAGAATGCAAAAACAAATGGATGAAGAGACTATGCGGTGAATAAATTAATACGAAGCACGTTGCTTTGGTCCGAGAACGAGACGGTTCGCACATATGGGCGTATATGAATATATACACATAAGTGTATACTTTGTTACTTGCATGTTCATAGATCTACTAGTCCGCGGCTGTACTCACAGAACATTCAAGCATACCTCCCGGAAAGGTATACAACCTTTTTTTACTTCTTCCCACAGTGTTCTATTTTGCAAAACCCGAACAAATGGAGGTAATTTGCCTTTACTTAAGGTCTCATTTCCCAGAGGAGGATATGCTAACAAGCTTTGGCAATAATTTCAGCCAAATAGAAGCAACTGGTTATTGAGGGATATTCCTCAGTGTACGCATTTCGCTGGTGTTATATAGGACCATGGGAAATTCACACCTGGGGGTAAGGGAAAAAATGTTCCGTTAAAGTATGTAGAGTGGGGAAGGCAAACACGTTACACGTGTAGCGGCACACCTTTGGTCTTACATACAAGCGATCGGTTTGTTCTTCTGGCATATGTTCTGCGCCCTGCCCGTGGGTGTGCGCTTTAACATGTCATTTTGAAATGGACCCCAACATGTGATTCACTTTATAGGCATGATTGTGTCATGAGTGGTATGCTCCAATTTTGCAATCTATAATTTATCCTTTTCATCATTACAAGTGTGTACTTATTTTGTGCATACGCCTATGATGTTATGTTTAATTGTTCAGCATAATTTGGGCCGTATTGCGGTGTCGTTTTTTGTCCCCTGAGTTACAAATCGGAATGAAAGAGTAAGGCGCGCAGAAGGGAATATCATAATAGCGGTATGATTTACTCTACGTCGCAAAAATGAACGTACCACATTTTGTTCCGCACATTTGTATTTATTTTAATATATTTTTCGAGTTTGGCTTTCTCAGTTTTATCTCCTATTTTTTGCTAAACAGTTTTGTATCCAGTGTATGCTCCACACAAATTTAATCGAACGCATTTATGTTGTGCACTGCACATATGTATGGAGTACGCTTTTGAAGTTATCACGAAGGGGGGGAAAAAAATAAAAAAAAACAAAGGTTCGTCAATGGTGAACGAAATTACGCATAGGTAAGGAAAAAATAGATACTTTATTTTAACACTTTTTTGGTAAATCTTGAATGGGCTGCTCCTTATGAAGAAGAACTCTTCCCCCATATTTTGAATGTGTTTTTGGAGTTTCTTGTCCCTGGCACCACCACATTCCCCCTGTATCTAACCCTCTCTCCATATAAGCTAAAACTTTACAGCGGTGTAATGATTAGCGAACACTTGCAGAACGCTGACAGATGCCCCCTTGCGTAAGTATTTATGAAAATGTGTTAACGTTTTGCATATGATTTTATACTTCCTACACATTACCGCCCCATTTTTGCTGCGCTCCGTTTGGTATTAAAATGGAAAACGAAACGCTAAAGGAACAGGAAGGAGAAGAAAATAAAAGAATATTAATTTTACATAAACATTATAGAGAAGGCCCATTTGAAAACAGACTAAGATTCGAGTGTGAATTAGAATTTGTGCAATCGCTCAGCAACATTGATTACATAAAGTATTTGTACGAAAACAAATATTTTAGTGATAAGAGGTTTTTAAATTATTTGAAGTATTTAAATTATTGGAGAACCAAGCCGTATGTTTTTTATGTCCAGTTTCCTATTTGCCTGTACGTTTTGGAAATATTAAATGACAGTAAAGTTGATGAATATTTTAGCAAGGACAGCTCATTTAACAATTTCGTGTATTACTTAAAATTGCACTGGTTGTTTTTTAGTTACCAAATTTAGGACGCCTATCAAAGGGGCAGGGGGCAGAACAGTTTTATTACACTTATGTTAAATTGGATTGCATGATCAATAAGCATGCAAGATAAAAAAAAAAAAAAAAAAAAGAATCGAAACATACTTGCATCAGATGTGACCCCCAATGTGTTTAAACATGAAGAGTGCTAAAAGAAGAAAGACTGCAGAAGAGGGGTTGGGGAAACCTTTTTGAAGGGGTGTAGTGAATGACCACATATGTCTTAGCTCTTTCATTTTATAATTTAACCAAATTGAACAGACTATAATGTAACGCCTACACATGTGTGCCATTTGAGTGCTCTCCCTTTATTTGTAAACAAAAAAAAAAAAGGGGAAGAAATAGACATGTGAGGTCTACATTTTTGCTATATTTCCCCTTCCACATTTTCCCCAACCCAGCACTTATTTCTACTTATTTTCACCTTTTGGACAACTGCTAAAAGTAGACACGAAAATGAGGAAAGGTTTTTTTTCCAGAGTGCACTACAGTAATTGTGTTCATCTTAAGTATAAAGGAAGCAAGGAAAAGTACAACAGCAAAGGTGATGGTAAGTTATTAAAGAATGTGAATTATTATACAAGAAATGAAAAGAAAGAAATTTTAAGAAAAATTCATGAAAATATTATTCTTAAAAAAAATCATTTGAAAGAAGAACTGTCACAATTTTATATAAACGATAAAGATGTGAAGGAAATTTTCCAGAAGGAAAAAATTTCTGATCAGGATGATAAATTAGCCATAATTAAGCAGGTGGAAGATAACGAAGAAGCGCTGATAAATAAGTTTAACAATTTCTACGATTTGCTTCATTTTTCTTTACAAAATTTAGAGAGACAAGGAGGGGCATCCGCAAACAAGAGGAGGATATTTAAAGTGAGTGATATCACCAACTGTGCAAACAGCAATGCATTTGAGGTACACGAGTGGGTTACAACCAATTTGGACTTGATAAAAAAGTTTTTGGTTTTCATTGATAAAAATTTAGACGCATATGAAAAAACATCCTGTTGGTTTAAAGTATGTTTTTGCCTCAACAAGTTTGTAATATATTTTTTTAATTATTCCTTCCCATTCATTGAATTTTTCGATTCGAAGCTCTTGTTCAACTATTGCCATTTGTTTATAAAATTAAGCCTTTTGGATAATTCTCCTTTTGTTTCTAAGCAGAAAGATAAAAGGGCAGAAAATATTTACACCGTAAATATATCAAATGAGGAGATCTTCGATTTGGTAAGAAATAACAACAAAAATGCGATCAAATTGTTGTTACTGTTGAGTGCGCAGAAGAGGCACATGGACCTACTCGACCTGTCCGATGTATACATGCTATATGTGAAGAAGACGAAAATTAGAGAATGGATTGAAAATGTGAATTCTTATCTTGTAGAAAGTGTGATGGCAGGTCGACGGGGGTTAGGGCAAATGCCAACGTTTGTAGAGGAACCCAGTTATGAGAGTAAAGAAGTTCTATATCGGCCGTATGAAGAAATGTTTGGCGACAAGAACAACCACATGGACAATAGAAAAAATTACCATAGCTACTTCATTTGCCTATATTTCAATATGCTTTACTTAGTAAACAAATTGGTGTGTAATTATATTTCATTCCTGCCTTATATGAATGACAATATATTGCCCCTTCTGGATTGCATAGGAGTATTATGTGAGGGCATTTTAGAAGAGAACCATTTGAGCGAAAGGAAAATAAAAAATCTGACTGTGCTTCTGAGCAGTAGGGATGTTGCAAGATATGTCATAAAGGACATAGTAGCAGATGCTTCGTTATCTAGGTGCATTCAGGAGAGTGCACATGATATTGGGGGAAGGAATATGCCAATTAGTGGCAAGGTTGAAGAAATGGGTTTCCCAGGTGAGGTGTCAAGTTACACGGAATATGGAAACATGTTAGTGTGTGGGGGTGGTAGCAGAGGGACCAATGGGTTTACGCCCCCCGTGGAACAGGATTCGATGCTTAGGAAGAGCTTCTTCCATGAGGAACCCTTTCTAACACTGCACGCAAACACAAAGCGTAATTTAAAACACTTTTTTGAAAACATGACGCATTTTTTCATCTTGAGCGACTGTGAAGGAATTCTAAAATTTTTGCAAACGGTGTACCTAACCCGATATATGAATATGTGGAACACAAATATTTTGTTCTATAGCATATGGTTGAATGCAGAATTTTTAAAAATGTATCAAGTGAAGAATGTGTTATTTTTTCTTTCCCTGTTCAAGAGTAACTTCATTTTAAGGAACATGGATTTGGGAAGTTCCATTTATAGTTGGTATAATAAACAGTTAATGTTCTACCTGAGAAGAATGGTAGAAATTTATTTTGAAAACAACACATTGGAAAATAGCATCAAAAGTGTGTTCATGTTGTCCGATTTATTGAGTCACAACAAAGTGATAAAAAAAATT